CCCAAAACGAAGGTGGCGTAAGTTGTCCGTGCCTGGCGAGTGTGGGTATGGCGTATTTTGTCAACCCTCTGTTTCCCCTGACCCCAACTACCTGTACCCATGAACGCCAATTTCCCAATCCCCTCCGAGCCTAACCACTACCCGCAAGACGATGATGGCAGCCTGTCATGGTCTAGGTACTCACCCTCTGAGGAAGAGCACGAGCATATCAGAGTCAGATCGGGCACGTCGTCTCCGATCTCTCCTGAACCTTTTCAACATGGACCAACAACCTTCCCTGCCCGCACTTTCACCAGCGACGACTTCCTAACACTGACGGATCCCCTCCCTTCAAGCATTCTCCCAAAGATTCGATCGATCCTCTCGAGATCTGATATCGATTTCTCAAACGTCTATGAGGAAGACGTCTTCCGGCTGCTGGAGTCCGACTACGCTGTATGGGGCCAATGGCTCGACGACAACAAACTTCTCGTTTCTGGTCTGATGAACCAAGTATATCTCGAGGAGGCCCGGAAACACCAGGCCGTGAGGGAGATTTTGGAGAGCGCACTTGCGAGTGTTTCGTTGGCGAACGGGGCAGCGATCACTCTAGATGACAAAATCGATACGCTCGCGTCTCAGATGACGCATATCCAGATGGCGAAGGAGGAGGGGGAAGATGGGACCATGACCATCATGGACACACTCGCGTCGGCTCTTTCCGGCATTGCGCTGGCGTGATCGTTCCTTTTTGCGTGCTCGAGTGGGTCATGAGTACAGGTGAGTGATATACGGTCTGGTACCTTTCGAACGTGAGCACCAGTACTTATGGTGCACAAGACGATGTGGCCCAAACTCTGACTTGCTCACATCCTTCTATCGAGCACGCCAAGCCGCTCGATTCCAAGCTCACTGCGTGCGCAAAATTTGTTGCATTATTGTATCATCCTGGTTCCGGGGCGATATGGGCCGTCGTCCACTTTTTTGCCACAGGGCCTCGGACGACCTGTGCATGGCACGGCGAGCTCCCGAGTCCGTTCACGTGTAGACTGTCCACATCGAACCACTCCTTTGTGAGACTACAGCAGAGCAGCACTCCGCCTTGTCGATCTCAAACTGCGACCAGAAAGAGCGTTCCAGGCCCCTTCTAAACGTCATTTCCTCCGTCTGTATAGTCGGATACGCCCACATAGCCTGACACGTTCACATCTCCAAATCATGCACCCCGGACCTGTTGTGTGTTCGCATCTTACACGGTTTGTAAGGCCCTTAGCTCACGGGCAATATTACAACCCCATTGCTTTGCTGCGAGTCAACCTACTCCATACCTTAACCGTTCGTCTTGCTATGTTTCTTTGCACTCGCATCGTAATGGAGGATGTTCATCAGGCTCCTCGTGTAGACTAGAAGTCTCGTGCGCTCGATGTCATCCCGTCCTACTGATCTTGTACAACAAGCAGTGCATTTGGTACAGCCTTCCACATAAGCATTCGAGGGAAGCTGCGCCCGTGGGCCTCTTTAAATTGTACAGAAAGCAACACTCTCAAAGACGTGTAGCGTCTTCTAGGTTAGACCCACCGCGTTTCTCTACATTTTTCATGCCCCTCTCCTACTGGCAGTTGTAGAACGCGAGTTAACGCCTCGTGCTTATGGTCTACCTATATGGCATGCAGAGCCTAATGGCGATGGCAGAGAAGTCCACATTGGAGATGTCGGATATATCTCGTACGTTCTTTCTATGATCGTTGTATATGCGTTCGTGGTGTATCCTAAATGGACCTTGCCCTAGTGATGGAAGGTTTGAGCGAGTATTCAACGTCCTCTTCGAGGACTCCAGGGATCCGTCACTGAGTCGCAGTCTCTCCCGTCTGAACTCGCCTTCCCCCGGGTCTGGTGGGCCATCTGAATATTTCCACCCCGGGGAGAGCATACTCTTCGAGCCCAATCCCGATGGCGTACCGAGTGGACATCAGCCACTAGAGATCTCCACGTCAGCAGTTCGCATTCACGCACATCTGGATGGGCCAATAGCATCGCACAACACGCTAATCAAGAGGTCAAAGGCAGGCGCAGAGCTTCAGCCTCCCAATATGTACGTGGATCTCACCCTACAACTCACTACTCACCAAGTCTGATCTCTGCTGGTTCATGAAGTCCTCTCGGATTGGGAGGTAAATTTGAGTTCAGTTCCAGCCGAGATTCCGGGGCAGCGCTGTTCATGCAAACGCCTGGGGAGGATCGGTGGGCTCAGCCCGTGTCGCGCTTCACAGACTACGCCCGACCACTCTGGGGGACCTGGACGGAGGGAGTTCATGTCCTCGCTGGGATATCATTCGCAGTTTTTGCGATGACTTACTGCTCGTCTACGGCCATGCAAAGACGTCTGCATGGAACGCAATTGCCTTCCAGCAGGAGTCTCGGTCCGGATCTGTCTCCTTTAGTCTATCTGTCCCCGCCATCGGCCCCATGGACATCGAATACGCTGAGCAAGTCACGTCCGATATCGTCTATGACAAGAATCACGGGCCCCAGTTTCATCTTCCTAGAGTCGAGCACCACGATAGCACGACTTGCTTGGGATGGGAGCAAGGGATCGTGAGGGGGAGAGTATTGATGGGAGGATGTAAACGTGTGTGAGGATAAGAGTTGGGGGTTCCGTGCGCTGAGTGGCGCAGACCAGAAGAATAGAAGAGTGGGTGAAACGTTGTAAGTCCTACGAATCAACGGGTGAGAGGTTTTGATCTGCGATGCGTGTGCCTTCTTCTTGTTCTGTTTATTTGTAGGATCGGTCGTGGTGCTCACTTGGTGTCCTTGTTATCCCCTGTTGACGTATACGGACGGTTACAGAAGAAGAATAAACTCATTCCTTCCCTCTTTCACTGTCATCGTCATCGCTTGCGGCTCGCAGCTCTTTCTCTAACGGATACTTCCTCGAGTGTTGACGGCTTGTTGCGTTCCGCTGACGAAGCCTATACATCGTACATCGATGTCCATACCGTCACGGTTTCGCTGTACCCTACGAACGGCGATAACGTAGTTACGTGTATTGAAGTCATCGCACCAAGCGTTCTTTCCAAACTCGATAGTGACGTTAAACGGCGACACTTTCTCGTGTAGACCTTGAATCAAATTTAAAAGAAGGTTACGTATGTAATGTTTCTCCTGCATGAGGATTTGACAGTGTCTTCTGACCTAAGGTGTATTCTATCGCGGAAGAAGTCGTCCTTGCCATTCTTGAGGAGTACATCTCGGAAAGACATGATGTGCTCCACATAACTTGGATACGTCTTCATTGCTGCGAGCCCTCTATGCGATATAAAACCGCTCCCGAGAAAACAGCCATATCTTGTGTATGATAGGCCTAAGAAACACCCATTCGGTTTTCTTCACCCAACTGCAGCCTATGACAACCGGTAATCATGAATTACGGAGGATAGATGATTCTCATGCAACTATATGACATGGCACAAACAAGGAACAATATACTACTACGATGCCATAATGGAAGAAAGTCGTACTCATCGAAGCAGCCAGATCACAGAGGACTTACTCTGAGTCCGCACTCGACAATGCCTCTCGCATGTCTGTAAGATCTGGGAAGCTTTCTTCACTCTGTATATCATCTTTCGGCGCCCGAGCCTTGCTCCTCCCGCTCTTGGTGCTCTTCGCGTCCTTCGTATTCTTCGCAGCATTCGCGGCCTTCTTGTTCTTCCTATTCTCCGCCGCTTTCTCCTTCTTCTTCTTCTCTTGCTCAGCCTCTTGCACTTTCGACAGCCTTTCGATTGGGTACATCGCAACCATCATCCGCTCCTCTAGGTCACCCAAAACCCCCGGTACCTGACTTGCCTTCATGGTCTTGAAAATCTTCCCAAACGGCTCCGAGAATCGATCTAGAACAGGATATTGCAACGCCGAGCATCCGCGAACGTTGATCAAGATGTTCTCAGGCTCGTCCGCGATGTACCCCGACCAGCTGATCGTTTTCTCTGCCGCTCTCTTTACCAAAAATTTCATCCTTCCGTTCTGTTGGAACGTCTTCTCGGTGCTCAGGTCCATGAGCATGACGATTGTCGGATGTTTGACCTTTCTGGCCTCGGACTTGTTGGCGCTCGGGTAAAGAATGGGTGGGACGGTCAAGCCTTCTCCAACCGCACCATACGCCTGCTTGGTTCTGGCTTTGACCTGAATGCCGACTACTCCGAGATCTGACCGGTTGAACGGCTCGTCGATAGGCCCGCTGTAGTAAATAATGAGAACGTCGATGACCGGCTGATTATGGCAGCATTGGATGGCGGCGCCAGAGAACCAGGCGTGCTCGAGCTCGTCCAGAGTGAGCTCCTCGATCGTCTTCTCGTATTGTATGAAGTGAGTGAAGTTGATAGACAAGCCCTCGCAGAGCGACCGAAGATCCTCCGCTGACTCCTCCTCTTCCTGCGCCTGAAATCCATACCGAGTCTGTCCGAGAAGGGTCGATAAGAAGTCGTGCAATCCAATGGCGTGGATATAGCACCTGTCCATCTCCGGCTTCTCTCTGACGAAGGTCCCATGCAAGTCGGTAGTAGCCTTATCGCGAGCGAGGAGAAGGAGAAGACGGCAGCAGAGCTCCCCCGCCTCTCCAGGTGCGAGGACGGAATTCTGGCGTTCCAACTCGGCGCATAACGTGTTGAGGGCATTGTGGTAGGTTTGAAAGGACTCCGTGAGCGCGACGGCGGCGGCGATGGAGAGTATAGGTTCGGAGGGAACAGTGGTGATGAGGGTGGTTTTCGCCACGGAGACGAGGATGCGCATGTGATGGCTGACGGCGTCAGCGGCGATCCGATTGGCAGCGTCGTTCCCCGCCAGTTTGAGGCATGCTCTGGATGCGAACACTGCCAGGACTTGCTTCAGGTCCACTGGAGTGAATTCTTCAGCGGCTAGTAGCTTTTCCTTCGCCGAAGTCACAACCTCGGATGCCGTCAACGTCGACCACAGCTATGACGGTCAAGTAGTCTCAGCGTAACGCTCTAGAATACAAGAGAGAAAGA